CGCTGCCCTAATCAATGCTTTTGCCCAGTTCGCTCTAACTCTGTCACGTGCTAATACCCCATTCACACCAGGGCCCCGATCGCACCACGCTCGTACTACGCTCTAAGAGCGTGATGGAAACGTGTAGAACGCAGTATGAACGTATATGGACGTACTGCGATCGCGATCGAGTGCGGTGCAGTCACCATGAGCGTGGAGAGCGTGGAGAGCGTGGCCAAACTTTGAACATGTTCAAAATAATCGTGGTGCGCGCGTGGCGGAAATACAGCGCAGTGCGGGCATATTAGAGACGTGGAAGGCGTAGTACCCACGTAACTCGAGCTTGGTACGAACTTAATGGTCGTATCGCAAGCGTGTCGGGTGCGTGAAAATTGTCGCCCCGTTCTCAGCACGATGTCAATACGTTTTCATCACGCTGTTACTACGTCCATGGAGATGTCTCTGCGACCTGATCACGCTCTTGCTATGACTATGGTGCGTCTCTAGCAAGCTCGACCCGTTCGTACTACGATTGTACTACGCCCAACGCGCTCAGCCACGTCCGTGTGCTGGGTCTGCGCCATTACGCTGTCAGTTTTACGTCGAATCACCACGCCTCAGATCACGTCCTGCAAACTATGTCCGGTATAAGATTGCGTCCGCTGCTGACCCTGGCCACCCCACCAGTCTCTAGTGTCCACTATGAGATAAGGCAACCCACCACTACCCACCACCTGAACCATATCTCTCCCATCAGCTTCAACTCGTCAATTACTCCTTAAACTTCCAAGCCCTCTCATCCTGACCCTCGACGGTGAGTGACCGCCGAGACGAAGTTAGTGAGAAATAGAAGACAAGAAGCATCTTGCTCCTCTAGTCAACTCCTCCACCCGTCTCTCTGCGCCAGATTTCTTATTTCTCTCTACAGAATCGTCCAACACCGTGAAGTGCGGAGGCTGCCCTGTACCCAGCAGCTTGAGCTACGTCTTAACATCTTTCCCCAGTTACCACATGCCTTCGCTCTCTCATAACGCAATTCTTTCTTCGGTTTCTTGTCTTTTGTAGGCATCATCATCTTCTTGTTAGTAGAAGACAGTGGTTTCTGCCAGCCAAAGTCCACCATGCTCTGCCTCCTCTTCTCTGACGTAAGGAAACTGTAGAACTAGCTACTGTCGTCACCTTCCCTTCTTGACCTTACCACTGGTCTTGCTTGGTGCTACTAGGACAGCGTCGGGTGCGCTCTATACGTCTAACTCTCATGGGCCTGCGTGGCTGGAGCCGCCGGGAAATCTCTTCTGCGAGGCGCGACTGACGCACGCTCCTGATTCACAGGGCAACATGTGATGCGAGAGAAACGGACTCCTGCACCTCTTTGGCTTCGTTTGCTCGCGCCTGTCACACCCTGGTCCACGGCGCTCTTGCCCTTGTGCTTTTGGCAGATCATAAGCTCTGATGTGCGCGTAGAACATAATCTTGATGTTAATACTTGGCATTTAAGTTCAGTAATGTAGTCGCTCCTTAATTATATGTGTGAGTCCTAATTCTTGACAGCACGCAGAAGTGCAATAGCTAGATTATAGAACGCAGGCGAACACGGTATTATATGGGAGCCGCCTCTCGCACAGCCCGCAGTCGCGCGCCTGGACTGTGGCACGATGTGCGATGATTGGTCCCACAGTTGCACGAGGCGCCGGTGCAGCTGTTCGCCTAGGCGGCAGTGCATAGGCGTCGTTCGCAACGCAGATGCCGATCTGATTTGTCCGCAATAACGACGCCGTGCCAGCTCTAGATGCTAGCGTTGGATGCGCGGTGAGATGGGTCGTGCGTCCTTCCAAGCTGTGGTGAAAAGCCTTAGTGAGCCAATGAGAACTCGGGGGTAAAGACGCACTTTAGATCGTAGTATCCACACGTAATTAGAGTCGTAGTATCGGCGCCTGTCGGGCGCCGCAGCCGTCTGAGTGGCAGTCCGCGACTAGCGCGTTCCACACCAACCCGACTTCAACAGCGCTCGCGCGCAAGAACTTCATTGAAGCGTGGTTTCCTCAGCGATCGTTGAGTGAGCGTAGCTCTGCTGTATAGTGAGATGATCACCTCTAAGATATATCGTGAATTTAAGCTAAGATCAAATTCGTAGTGTGCAGCCGTAAACTGGGCGGCATATGCGTACAGTCATTGGCGGGGATTCGGCTGATTTCGAGAAGACCAAGCATTGTTTAGGAATGATGCGAGAGAGAGAGGTAGTAGCTATGACGAATCAGAGCCCAGGGTTAGTGCTATCACAATGTCCAGCCGACTTCTCTTCTTGGATGTATGAGTCGTAGCGTAGGAATTATAGATGAGACTGATAGATCTAAAGTTGGTTCATAGTAAGTTATTATTGTAACAACCTGCTGACTGCTAACCTTCAAGCATCCATTTCCTTAGCATCTCTCGTGTTTCAATATACTGTAAAAGGAAAGTGTAAATGAACCAGAGGTCAACATAAGTATATGTGCGGTGCGTGCGCTGTGTTGTGCGGTGCGTGCGGTGCGTTGCGTTGCGCTGCGCTGCGTGCGTTGCGTAGTGTGCTGCGTGTGCGATTGTGTGCGGTGCCGGCGGCGTGCGGTGACGTGACTGTGACGCTGTGTAGTGTGCGCGCTGCGTGCCATGGGTTCGTGTGCATGTCGATAGTATAGTCTATTAGCTATATACCTGGACTGTCAAATAAGTGGCAGAGTGTCGTATAAAATCTAGTCCCTGTGCGATATTGTTCACTTTTCTTGCCAATCGGATTTTATGAACGAGAGGTTCTTAGTGCCCTAATCACTTTAGATTTTTATGAGACCTTGCTGAGGCATGCAATAAACAATTGATTTGTAGGCAGCAATAAGCGCGAAAACATTAATTGGAAGAAGATATTTTTTGTGAGAAGTAAAAGAAAAAAAAAAAAAAAAAAAAAAAAACAAAAAATGCTGTTTTTTTTTTGTTTTTTTTTTTTTTTTTTTCTTTTTTTCTTTTTTTTTGTATTTTTTGAGTAGATATAGTGTATTTGTGTAGAGATGTTGACGTTATTTTGTTTTTGTATTTTTTCTGCCTAAAGACAAAGATAGGCATTTTATTGTGTATGATTGGATGAGACATATGAGACAGCTCAAGAGTCCAACCGAAAAAAAGCTAGTGTGTTCAAAGGCGATTATATATATAAACATAATGAAATTAGTGAAAGCCTAAAAAAAAAGAAATAATGGAAAAAAAGATTTGACAATAAATAACTGTAAAAACTGTTACATGGTACTTTAAAAACTCTGTGCAGGGAACATTCGCCAGCAAAAAATTGAAAGTTTGTCGACCATTTCGCTGTACGCGTCACGAGGGTTGCTGGTTTGGTGCTGGGGTGTGGCATGTCGACATCATCATCGTCGTCATCGACATCGCTCTCGCGACCAAACGAACAACCTGCATCGCACGTTCGTACCGATTTCGCCTCGTGCCGTTAGCACTCATGGTGCGAAATGCACCCTCCGCATCATGGCAAGGGGTAAGCTATGTACAATATGTGTATATATATATATCTACAGGGCTTGAAATAGACAATTGCCAAGTAAGTCATATTACCCCTGAGACATTCAAATATCTTATTTCACAGCAAGCTTGGTTCAAACACACCACCCGTTCGACTCATTGTGAAAGAAATCCTCCGCAAGAACCCACAAATCTCAATCATGAAGCCATTAACACAACCATTGCAGCAGGCATGAACTCCAATTCACAACCCATGGTGACTTTATTTTGCTGGTGACTTCGCCCAGATTCGTCCCTGTCGTCAAACATGGACACGCACGCAAAACACATTGCATGCTACTCTGAAGAGGTCCCCTGTGACACTAGACAGGCCTGCCACTCTCACAGATGTGGCTCTTAGCAACTGAAGTTTTTATAGGCCCAACCAAAAAACTAAAAAATGCAACCGACGCACGCACCGATGACCGTAATACGCAAATAGCCAATTTGTTCTCTAGAATAAACATTGCAATGTGGCCTTAATAAATACTAAACCCTGTTCATTAACGGTAAATTATAATTTAATTTACAGTTATTTTTTTCTAAAAAATGAAAATTTCCTAGCCGGATTTTCCCTGAAGCAATTTTAACGTTTTCTATTTGTACTTAAGTTATCTAGGGTTCACACTTAAAGAAATGTGTCACATATCGGTTATATAGGCACGCGGCTGGCCTCTAATTAGTTCAGAATAATTTAATTCACGATGACGTGAGCGCGGTGCTCTACTGACTGCTGCCATTTCAATACTATCTTGCGTATCTGCAGGACAGAATTTTTCTTCAAGGAGTGTATAATGGAGCTCGACTTGGTTGTTACGTTCGCGGTGAACTTGTCATCATCAGCATTGTCTACGTGGCACCGTGTAAGAGGCAAACAAGCACACCGTTTCCTGACAGTAATAATATAGCCTGCAATGAGTTCCTGTAAGTGGCGAAGAGTGTTTGTTTTGCTGAGATAGTGCCATAATGGTTTGGAGGATATATACATTAGGAGAATGTATTTGCGAGATGTGTTCAAATTGGATTGTATTTTCAAGCAAAACTGTTCTATAGTTTGCCACTTTAAATCCTTTCTCTTCAATAAACGTTTATTTTAAGGTGGAAATGGATCACTCTTGAGCCCGGGGGGGCTACTATATGCGGTAATATACCCATGTGCGTTCAAATGTGCGGGT